GTTAATGTAGCTTAACTCAATAAAGCAAAGCACTGAAAATGCTTAGATGGGTATTTTGTACCCCATAAACAATAGGTTTGGTCCTGGCCTTTTCATTAGCTTTTAGTTAACTTATACATGCAAGCATCCCCGCCCCAGTGAGAATGCCCTCTATATCTATAACTGATCAAAAGGTGCAGGCATCAAGTTCACTACTCCTAGTAGCTCATAACGCCTTGCTCCACCACACCCCCACGGGACACAGCAGTAATTAACATTAAGCCTATAAACGAAAGTTTGACTAAGTTAAGCTAAATTTAGGGTTGGTAAATTTCGTGCCAGCCACCGCGGTCATACGATTAACCCTAGTTAATGAAATACGGCGTAAAGCGTGATTAAGAGACTAATTAGATAAGATTAAAATTATACTAAACTGTAAAAAGTCTTGGTGTTAATGAAAATCAAATACGAAAGTAATCTTAAATTTTCTGAATTCACGATAGCTAAGACTCAAACTGGGATTAGATACCCCACTATGCTTAGCCCTAAACATAAATATTCAACAAACAAGAATATTCGCCAGAGTACTACTAGCAATGGCCTAAAACTCAAAGGACTTGGCGGTGCTTTATACCCCTCTAGAGGAGCCTGTTCTATAATCGATAAACCCCGATACACCTCACCACCTTTAGCAAATATCAGCCTATATACCGCCATCTGCAGCAAACCCTAAAAAGGTCCTATAGTAAGCAAGAAAATTCTACATTAGTACGTTAGGTCAAGGTGTAGCCTATAAGGTGGGAAGAAATGGGCTACATTTTCTATTTTCCTAGAACAAATTACAATAGCTTTTATGAAATTCAGAGCATAAGGCGGATTTAGTAGTAAGTTAAGAATAGAGAGCTTAACTGAATAGGGCAATAAAGCACGCACACACCGCCCGTCACCCTCTTCAAATATATCTTCATAGTTCTATAAGTAATATATTAAACCAAATATATAAGAAGAGATAAGTCGTAACAAGGTAAACATACTGGAAAGTGTGTTTGGAAGAATCAAAATGTAGCTTATTAACTAAAGCACCCGGCTTACACCCGAGAGATTTCACTCAATATGAACATTTTGAACTAATACTAGCCCAACTTTTATCCCCTCCAAATACCATTCACCTAATAAATAAAACATTCATCTAAATAAAGTATAGGAGATAGAAATTTATATTAGGAGCTATAGAAAAAGTACCGTAAGGGAAAGATGAAAGAATAAATTTATAGTACAAAAAAGCAAAGATTAACCCTTTTACCTTTTGCATAATGATTTAACCAGAAAATGTTTGACAAAAAGAATTTAAGCCAAATACCCCGAAACCAGACGAGCTACTTATGAGCAGCCGATAAGAGCCCATCCATCTATGTTGCAAAATAGTGGAATGACTCATAAGTAGAGGTGAAAAGCCTACCGAGCCTGGTGATAGCTGGTTGTCCAGACTAGAATTTTAGTTCTACTTTAAATTTACCTCAAGCACTTATAAGCCAAATGTAAATTTAAATGCTATTCTAAAGAGGGACAGCTCTTTAGAGTCAAGAAATAAACCTTATTTAGAGAGTAAATTTATTAATTTCCATAGTTGGCCTAAAAGCAGCCATCAATTAAAAAAGCGTTAAAGCTTAACCCAATCACCAAAACTTAATACCTGACTACTTCCATGACCTCCCAAATCAACACTGGACTAATCTATTTCATAATAGAAGAAATTATGTTAAAATAAGTAACAAGAAAGTATTCTCCCTGCATAAGCTTATATCAGATCGAATGATTCACTGATAGTTAACAGCTTCATAATATTAAACAAACAGAACAACCATTATTACTTATACTGTTAACCCAACACTGGTATGCATAAAGGGAAAGATTAAATAAAGTAAAAGGAACTCGGCAAACACTAACCCCGCCTGTTTACCAAAAACATCACCTCTAGCATTAATAGTATTAGAGGCACTGCCTGCCCAGTGACACACGTTTAACGGCCGCGGTATCCTGACCGTGCAAAGGTAGCATAATCACTTGTTCTTTAAATAAGGACTAGTATGAATGGCTTGACGAGGGTTTAACTGTCTCTTACTTTTAATCAGTGAAATTGACCTTCCCGTGAAGAGGCGGGAATTTTATAATAAGACGAGAAGACCCTATGGAGCTTTAATTTAACAGTCTCACAGCCTTAATTATATCTTAGGAGTTAAAACTATTGTTCATAGACTAGAAATTTTGGTTGGGGTGACCTCGGAGTACAAACTAACCTCCGAATGATAATAATCTAGACATTACATGTCCAAATTACAACTCATTAATTGACCCAAATTATTGATCAACGGAACAAGTTACCCTAGGGATAACAGCGCAATCCTACTCAAGAGTCCATATCGACAGTTAGGGTTTACGACCTCGATGTTGGATCAGGACATCCAAATGGTGTAACCGCTATTAATGGTTCGTTTGTTCAACGATTAAAGTCCTACGTGATCTGAGTTCAGACCGGAGAAATCCAGGTCGGTTTCTATCTATTACTACATTTCTCCCAGTACGAAAGGACAAGAGAAATAAGGCCAATTATACACTCATGCCTTAAGTTAATGGATGATATAATCTTAATCCAGTAAAATATTTTAAACAATCTGCCCTAGAATAGGGCTTGTTAAGATGGCAGAGCCTGGTAATTGCGTAAGACTTAAAACTTTATTTCAGAGGTTCAACTCCTCTTCTTAACATTAATGTTTTTAGTTAACCTTCTACTTTTAATTATCCCAATCTTAGTAGCCATAGCCTTTCTTACCCTAATTGAACGAAAAATATTAGGATATATACAACTTCGCAAAGGCCCTAATGTTGTTGGACCTTATGGCCTACTCCAACCATTTGCTGACGCAATAAAGCTATTCATTAAAGAACCCCTAAAACCCTTAACATCATCTATTATACTATTTATTATTGCTCCAACCCTCGCCCTAACACTGGCATTTACCATATGAATTCCCTTACCCATACCCATACCCCTTATTAACATAAATATAGGAGTCCTATTTATCTTAGCCACTTCAAGCTTAGCCGTATATGCAATTTTATGATCTGGATGAGCTTCCAATTCTAAGTATGCTTTAATTGGAGCTCTACGAGCCGTAGCACAAACTATCTCATACGAAGTAACATTAGCAATTATCCTTCTCTCAGTACTTCTAATAAATGGATCCTTTACTTTGTCCACACTCATTACTACTCAACAATTTTCATGACTCTTATTTCCAACATGACCTCTAGCAATAATATGATTTATTTCAACATTAGCAGAAACTAATCGAGCTCCATTTGATTTAACAGAAGGAGAGTCAGAACTCGTATCAGGATTTAATGTTGAATACGCAGCCGGTCCCTTTGCCTTATTTTTCATAGCTGAATATACTAACATTATCATAATAAACGCATTAACAGTAACCTTATTTATAGGAGCACTACTAAACCCTATCTTACCCGAAACTTTTACATTAAACTTTGTCCTAAAAACACTCATTTTAACTTCCACTTTTCTATGAATCCGAGCATCCTATCCTCGATTCCGTTACGACCAACTCATGCACCTCCTATGAAAAAACTTTTTACCCCTAACTCTAGCCTTATGCATATGACATATCTCTCTCCCAATTATAACCGCATGCGTACCACCCCAAATATAAGAAATATGTCTGATAAAAGAGTTACTTTGATAGAGTAAATTATAGAGGTTTAAATCCTCTTATTTCTAGAACTATAGGGATTGAACCTAATCCTAAGAATTCAAAATTCTTCGTGCTACCTCTTACACCATGTCCTAAATAGTAAGGTCAGCTAAATAAGCTATCGGGCCCATACCCCGAAAATGTTGGTTTATATCCTTCCCGTACTAATTAACCCCTTGACTTCCTCCGCAATCTACTTTACTCTATTTTCTGGGACTATAATTACACTTTTCAGCTCACATTGACTTCTAACTTGAGTAGGCCTTGAAATAAGCATACTAGCTATTATCCCCATTCTAATTAACAAAGGAAACCCTCGATCCACAGAAGCTGCATGCAAATATTTTCTCATTCAAGCCACCGCATCAATAATCCTAATAATAGGCACAATAATTAACTTCATAGACTCAGGTCAATGAACTCTGTCCAATCCATATAATCAAATCTCATCATTCATATTTACAATTGCACTTTCAATAAAAATAGGACTCGCTCCATTTCACCTATGAGTTCCAGAAGTAACCCAAGGAATTCCACTCAAATCAGGACTAATCATGCTAACATGACAAAAAATTGCCCCAATCTCTATCGTATATCAAATCGCACCCTCTATAAACCCAACCCTCATACTACTTATAGGGACCCTATCAGTCATACTAGGAGGATGAGGAGGACTTAACCAAACCCAACTACGAAAGATCATAGCATACTCATCAATCGCCCATATAGGATGAATAATAGCAATCGTCACATATAATCCAACCTTAACAATATTTAACCTAGTCATTTATATTATACTTACCATCAATATATTTATACTTCTCCTATTTTATAAAAAAACTTCCACCCTTTCCCTGTCTAACATATGAAATAAGTTCCCTCTTCTAACACCCACAATTTTAATTGTACTAATATCACTAGGAGGATTACCTCCTCTAACAGGATTTACACCAAAATGAATTATCCTTAAAGAACTTATTTCAAATAACAACATCATCTTCTCTTCACTAATAGCAACTCTAGCACTACTAAACCTATACTTCTATACACGACTTATCTATTCAACATCTCTAACCTTATTCCCATCATTTAATAACACTAAGATAAAATGACAATTCGAAAATATGAAACTCACACCTTTTCTACCCACACTAATTATTACCTCTGCTCTTTCTCTCCCACTAATACCCCTCTTCTCACTCCTAAACTAGGAATTTAGGTTAATATAGACCAAGGACCTTCAAAGTCCTAAGTAAGTATCCAATACTTAATTCCTGTGCTAAGGACTGCAAGACTTTATCCTACATCAATTGAATGCAAACCAATCACTTTAATTAAGCTAAGCCCTTAATCTCTAGACTGATGGGATTTAAACCCATAAGACCTTAGTTAACAGCTAAACGCCCTACTCAACTGGCTTCAATCTACTTCTCCCGCCGTAAGGGAAAAAAGGCGGGAGAAGCCCCGGCAGAGTTGAAGCTGCTCCTTTGAATTTGCAATTCAATATGAATATTCACCTCGGGACTTGGCAAAAAGAGGACTCAACCTCTGTCTTTAGATTTACAGTCTAATGCTTACTCAGCCATTTTACCACCTACCTATGTTCATCAACCGTTGATTCTTCTCAACTAATCACAAAGATATTGGAACACTTTACCTTCTATTTGGCGCTTGAGCTGGAATAGTAGGAACTGCACTTAGTCTACTAATCCGTGCTGAGCTAGGTCAACCTGGAGCTCTATTGGGTGACGACCAAATTTACAATGTTATTGTTACTGCTCATGCATTCGTTATAATTTTCTTTATAGTTATACCAATTATAATTGGTGGATTTGGAAACTGATTAGTACCCCTAATAATTGGAGCTCCTGATATAGCATTCCCACGAATAAATAATATAAGCTTCTGACTTCTTCCCCCTTCTTTTCTCCTCTTACTCGCTTCTTCTATGGTTGAGGCAGGAGCAGGAACTGGCTGAACCGTTTATCCTCCATTAGCTGGAAATCTTGCCCATGCAGGAGCTTCAGTAGACCTAACCATCTTCTCCCTTCACTTAGCAGGAGTTTCATCCATCCTAGGAGCAATTAACTTTATTACAACAATTATTAACATAAAACCACCTGCCATATCTCAATATCAAACTCCTTTATTTGTATGATCCGTGTTAATTACAGCAGTACTTCTACTCTTGTCCCTTCCGGTTCTTGCGGCAGGAATCACTATATTACTTACAGATCGTAATCTTAATACCACATTTTTTGACCCTGCTGGAGGTGGAGATCCTATCCTCTATCAACATCTATTTTGATTCTTTGGACACCCTGAAGTCTATATTCTTATCCTTCCAGGATTTGGTATAATTTCTCATATCGTAACATATTACTCAGGAAAAAAAGAACCATTCGGTTATATAGGAATAGTATGAGCTATAATATCTATTGGTTTCCTTGGATTTATTGTATGAGCCCATCACATATTTACCGTTGGAATAGATGTAGATACTCGAGCTTATTTTACATCCGCAACTATAATTATTGCTATTCCTACAGGAGTAAAAGTTTTTAGCTGATTAGCGACCCTGCACGGAGGAAATATTAAATGATCACCTGCAATACTATGAGCACTCGGCTTTATTTTCTTATTCACTGTAGGAGGCCTAACAGGTATTGTCTTAGCCAACTCCTCATTAGATATTGTCCTACACGATACATATTATGTAGTAGCCCACTTTCACTATGTATTATCAATGGGAGCTGTATTTGCCATTATGGGAGGATTCGTTCACTGATTCCCTCTTTTTTCTGGTTACACACTAAATGATATATGAGCTAAAATTCATTTTACTGTAATATTTGTTGGAGTAAATTTAACTTTCTTTCCTCAACATTTCCTAGGGTTATCAGGTATACCACGTCGATATTCTGATTACCCAGATGCTTACACAGCATGAAATACTGTATCCTCAATAGGTTCCTTTATTTCTCTCACAGCTGTTATAATCATAATTTTTATAATTTGAGAAGCATTTGCATCAAAACGAGAAGTCCTCACCGTAGAACTAACGCCAACTAACCTAGAATGACTGCATGGGTGCCCTCCACCCTATCACACATTTGAAGAACCTACTTACATTAAAGCTTAAATCAAGAAAGGAAAGAATCGAACTTCCTAAGACTAGTTTCAAGCCAGCCTCATAACCATTATGACTTTCTTCATGAGATATTAGTAAAATAATTACATAACTTTGTCAAAGTTAACTTATAGGTTAAATTCCTATATATCTCTATGGCTTACCCGCTCGAATTAGGATTTCAAGACGCTACATCTCCCATTATAGAAGAGCTTTTACACTTTCATGACCATACCCTTATAATTGTTTTCTTAATTAGCTCCTTAGTCCTCTATATCATCTCATTAATATTAACCACAAAATTAACTCATACAAGCACTATAGATGCTCAAGAAGTAGAAACTATCTGAACCATCCTTCCTGCTATTATCCTTATTCTGATTGCTCTCCCCTCTCTACGTATTCTATACATAATAGACGAAATTAACGACCCATCCTTAACAGTAAAGACAATAGGCCACCAATGATATTGAAGCTATGAATACACTGACTACGAAGACCTTAACTTTGACTCTTATATAATTCCAACTTCAGACTTAGCCCCCGGAGATCTACGACTTCTGGAAGTCGACAATCGAGTTGTTCTTCCAATAGAGTTACCTGTACGAATATTAATCTCATCTGAAGATGTACTTCACTCTTGAGCAGTCCCATCCCTTGGCTTAAAAACAGATGCCATCCCAGGCCGACTTAATCAAGCTACGCTAACATCAACACGACCAGGACTTTATTATGGGCAATGCTCTGAGATTTGCGGATCAAATCATAGCTTCATACCTATTGTTCTTGAATTAGTTCCACTAAAACACTTTGAAAACTGATCCTCATCAATACTATAAATTCATTATGAAGCTGAATAGCGTCAACCTTTTAAGTTGAAGATTAGGAGTTGAACCTCCTCATAATGAAATGCCCCAACTAGACACATCCACATGATTTATCACAATTCTATCAATGATTCTAGCCCTTTTCTTTATATTTCAACTTAAAATCTCAAATCACTCTTATCCGTCTAATCCCTCTCTTAAATATACTAAACTAATTGAACATAAAACTCCTTGAGAAGAAAAATGAACGAAAATCTATTTGCCTCTTTCATTACCCCTACACTTATAGGTCTCCCTATTGTCCTTCTTATTATTATATTTCCCAATTTACTCTTTCCTTCACCTACTCGACTAATAAACAACCGTTTAGTATCATTCCAACAATGACTAATTCAACTTGTACTAAAACAAATAATGGCAATGCACAACCCTAAAGGACGTACCTGATCCTTAATACTAATTTCATTAATTATATTTATTGGCTCAACTAACCTTCTAGGCCTTCTACCTCATTCTTTCACACCTACAACCCAATTATCAATAAACTTAGGAATGGCCATCCCTCTATGAGCAGGAGCCGTAATCACCGGATTCCGTCATAAGACTAAAGCATCATTAGCCCACTTTCTCCCACAAGGAACCCCAATTCCTCTAATCCCTATACTTATTATTATTGAGACAATTAGCCTTTTTATTCAACCTATAGCATTAGCTGTACGATTAACAGCTAATATTACAGCTGGTCATCTTCTTATACATTTAATTGGAGGAGCAACTCTTGTATTAACATCTATTAGCCCTCCCACAGCTATTCTTACTTTTATTATTCTCGTCCTATTAACAATACTCGAATTTGCAGTTGCATTAATTCAAGCCTATGTTTTTACCCTCTTAGTAAGTCTTTATTTACACGATAATACTTAATGACCCACCAAACCCACGCCTATCATATAGTTAATCCTAGTCCCTGACCATTAACAGGGGCCCTCTCCGCCTTACTCCTAACGTCTGGCCTAGTAATATGATTTCACTTCAACTCCTCCTTCCTTCTTACACTAGGCCTAACAGCTAATATCCTAACAATATACCAATGATGACGAGACGTCGTGCGAGAAGGTACATTTCAAGGTCACCACACATCAATTGTTCAAAAAGGTTTACGATATGGCATAGTACTATTTATTATTTCAGAAGTATTCTTCTTTGCCGGATTTTTCTGAGCATTCTACCATTCTAGCTTAGCCCCAACCCCCGAATTAGGCAGTTGCTGACCTCCAGTAGGAATCAACCCACTTAATCCCTTAGAAGTTCCACTATTAAATACCTCTGTTCTTTTAGCTTCGGGAGTTTCAATTACTTGAGCTCACCACAGCCTAATAGAAGGAGACCGAAAACATATAGTCCAAGCACTATCAATTACAATTGCTCTAGGACTTTATTTTACTCTTCTCCAAGCCTCTGAATATTTAGAGACTTCTTTTACAATCTCAGATGGAGTATATGGCTCAACATTTTTCATAGCCACAGGCTTCCACGGCCTTCACGTCATTATTGGGTCAACCTTTCTCCTAGTATGTCTCATTCGTCAACTAAATTTTCACTTTACATCAAGCCATCATTTCGGATTTGAAGCAGCCGCATGATACTGACACTTTGTAGACGTAGTATGACTCTTCCTATACGTATCTATCTATTGATGAGGTTCATATTCTCTTAGTATTAATTAGTACAATTGACTTCCAATCAATTAGTTCTGGAACTAACCCAGAAGAGAATAATAAACCTTATAGTATCCCTCTTTATAAATTCTTTCATTGCTCTACTATTAATTTCCGTAGCATTTTGACTACCCCAGCTAAACGTGTATGCTGAAAAAGCAAGTCCTTACGAATGCGGCTTTGATCCTATAGGATCTGCTCGCCTACCATTCTCAATAAAATTTTTTCTTGTTGCAATTACATTTCTTCTATTTGATCTAGAGATTGCTCTTCTTCTCCCCCTCCCCTGAGCCTCCCAAACAAACAATCTTAATCTTATATTAACTATAGCCTTACTTTTAGTCTTAATTCTCACTCTCGGACTAGCCTATGAATGAGTTCAAAAGGGCCTAGAATGAATTGAATATGATAATTAGTTTAAAATAAAACAAGTGATTTCGACTCACTAAATTATGGGTTACCATAATTATCAAAATGCCTATTATTGTTCTTAATACTATCATAGCTTATTCTACGTCCCTATTAGGAATATTCATCTACCGATCCCACCTAATATCGTCACTCCTATGCCTAGAAGGAATAATATTATCAATATTTGTCTTATGCTCACTCTTAATTATTAATTTCCATTTTTCTTTATCATTTATGATTCCCATTATTTTACTAGTATTTGCTGCATGTGAAGCAGCTGTAGGTCTAGCCCTTCTCGTAATAGTATCAAATACATACGGTCTAGACTATGTCCAAAACCTAAATATTCTTCAATGCTAAAAATTGTTATTCCCACAATACTACTTGCCCCCCTTATATGATTCTCAAAACCCTCCATAATCTGAATCAACCCCTCAGTTCACAGTCTGTTAATTAGCCTAATTGTTCTTTTCACATTAAATCGTCCCACAAATACAGATCTAATTTTTTCGCTAGCTTTCTTTACCGATCCTCTATCCTCCCCCCTATTAATTCTTACAGCATGACTCTTACCCCTTATAATTATAGCAAGTCAGAGCCATCTAACCCATGAACCATTAATTCGAAAAAAACTGTACATTCTTATATTAATCTCGCTACAATCCTTTTTGATTATAACCTTCTCTGCTACTGAATTAATTATATTTTATATTCTATTTGAGGCTACCTTAATCCCCACACTAATTATTATCACTCGATGAGGGAACCAAGCTGAGCGATTAAATGCAGGATTATATTTCCTATTTTATACCCTAGTAGGTTCATTACCCTTACTAGTAGCATTAATCTATATTCAAAAATCTACAGGATCCTTAAACTTTATCATCTCATTATACCAGTCACCTAACCTCTCCATATCCTGAACAAATGACATTTTATGATTAGCATGTATAATAGCTTTTATAGTTAAAATACCCTTATATGGTCTTCACCTTTGATTGCCAAAAGCTCACGTTGAAGCCCCCATTGCTGGTTCCATAGTCCTAGCTGCTATCCTACTAAAACTTGGCGGATATGGTATAATCCGAATTTCAACTTTTCTACATCCTATTACATGTAATATAGCGTACCCCTTTATTATGTTATCGTTATGAGGTATAATTATAACAAGCTCAATTTGCTTACGACAAACAGACCTAAAATCCCTCATTGCTTATTCATCAGTAAGCCACATAGCACTAGTAATTGTAGCAATCATAATTCAAACTCCTTGAAGCTTTATAGGAGCCACAGCACTAATAATTGCCCACGGACTAACATCTTCCATATTATTCTGCCTAGCAAACACTAATTATGAACGAATCCACAGCCGAACTATAACTTTAGCTCGAGGCTTACAATCTATTCTCCCCTTAATAGCAACATGATGAGTTTTAGCTACCTTAACCAATTTAGCTCTCCCACCTTCTATTAATCTAATTGGCGAGCTATTCATTATTATAGCATCATTTACTTGATCAAATATTACAATTATCTTAACCGGACTAAATATACTAATTACAGCCCTCTACTCACTATATATGCTAATCATAACACAACGAGGAAAATTTACATACCATACATTAAATATTAGTCCCTCCTTTACGCGAGAAAACACGCTCATATTTCTTCACATTTTCCCACTTATTATTTTATCAACAAACCCCACTATTATTCTGGGTCAATTATACTGTAAATATAGTTTAAGCAAAACTTTAGATTGTGAATCTAACAATAGAGAATCGTAATCTCTTATTTACCAAGAAAGCATGCAAGAACTGCTAATTCATGCTCCCCGTGTTTACATCCACGGCTTTCTTAACTTTTATAGGATAGTAGTAATCCATTGGTCTTAGGAACCAAAAAATTGGTGCAACTCCAAATAAAAGTAATAAATATATTCTCTTCACTTATACTCACATCACTCGTAACCCTCTCATTTCCTATTTTTCTCACCATGACTAATTATTATAAACATATCAACTACCCAAACTACGTAAAAATCTCTATTATTTGTGCATTATCACTCTGCATAGTACCAACACTAATATTTATTAACTCAAACTATGAACTTATTATCTCAAACTGACACTGAATAACTATCCAAACATTCACTCTCTCCATAAGCTTCAAGTTAGACTATTTTTCTATACTTTTTATACCTGTAGCATTATTTGTGACATGGTCAATTATAGAATTTTCAATATGATATATACACTCAGACCCTTTCATTAACCGCTTCTTCAAATACCTACTCCTATTCCTTATCACTATAATAATTCTAGTTACATCCAACAATCTATTCCAACTATTCATTGGCTGAGAAGGAGTAGGCATCATATCCTTTTTATTAATTGGCTGATGATACGGTCGAACAGATGCTAATACAGCAGACCTTCAAGCTATCCTATATAACCGAATTGGAGATATTGGATTTGTACTAGCTATAGCATGATTCTTACTCAACTCAAACTCATGAGAATTTCAACAACTTTTCATGATAGATGTATCTTTATTCCCCCTACTAGGCCTACTCTTGGCCGCCACAGGGAAATCTGCCCAATTCGGTCTTCATCCCTGATTACCCTCTGCTATAGAAGGTCCAACCCCTGTATCAGCTCTACTTCACTCCAGTACTATAGTAGTAGCAGGAGTTTTTCTCCTCATCCGCTTCTACCCGCTAATAGAACATAATAAAATCATCCAAACACTTACCCTCTGCTTAGGAGCTATTACTACTCTATTTACTGCCATCTGTGCTCTTACCCAAAATGACATTAAAAAGATTATTGCATTTTCCACTTCAAGCCAACTAGGATTAATAATAGTAACCATTGGAATTAATCAGCCTCACTTAGCCTTTCTCCACATTTGTACACATGCATTCTTTAAAGCCATATTATTTATATGCTCAGGATCAATTATTCATAACCTAAACGATGAACAAGACATTCGAAAAATAGGAGGACTATTCAAAGCCCTTCCATTTACCTCATCTTCACTCATTATTGGCAGTCTAGCACTTACAGGAACCCCTTTCCTAACTGGATTCTACTCTAAAGACCTAATCATTGAATCCGCAAACACGTCGTATACCAACGCCTGAGCCCTAACTATTACTCTCCTCGCCACCTCCCTAACTGCTGTCTACAGCACACGAATTATTTTCTATGTTCTAATAGGACGACCTCGATTTTCTACACTAACTTCAATTAATGAAAATAACCCCCAACTACTTAACTCAATTAAACGTCTTCTCATTGGAAGTATTATTGCAGGATTTATCCTTTCGTATAATATTCCACCTATAAATATCCCAGTCCTAACTATACCCACCTACCTGAAACTTACTGCACTATTAGTAACCATTCTAGGATTCGTCATTGCTATAGAACTAAACTCAATAACTCTTTATCTAAAAACCAAAATATACTCAAACACATCAAAATTTTCAACCTTACTAGGCTATTTTCCTACCATCGTTCATCGATTCAACCCTCATCTTAACCTTGTAATAAGCCAAAAATTCTCATCAACCCTATTAGACTTAGTATGACTAGAAAAATCTATTCCCAAACTTACAACTAACCTTCACTCAACAGCCTCCACCATAACCTCTAATCAAAAAGGCCTCATCAAATTATACTTTTTATCATTCTTAACTTCAACACTCCTAGCAACCATAATCGTATTCTATTTCCACGCGTAATCTCAATTACAATAAAAATACTAACAAACAACGATCAGCCAGCTACAACTATTAATCAACTTCCACAATTATATATAGCTGCCACCCCTATTGAATCCTCACGAATTAATCCCAACTCATCCCCCTCAAACACTATCCAATTTCCCGAATCCTTAAACTCAATTACAACTTCTACTTCATCATATAAAACTATAAACATAACAATTAAAAATTCCACTAAAAACCCTAATAACAAAGCCCCCCAAATAACTACACTTGATCCCCATGTCTCCGGATATTCCTCTGTTGCTATAGCCGTAGTGTAGCCAAACACTACCAATATCCCCCCTAAATAAATTAAAAACACCATTAAACCTAAGAAAGACCCTCCAAAATATAATACTACTCCGCATCCAATCCCCCCACTAACAATTAATCCTAAACCTCCGTAAATAGGAGAAGGTTTTGAAGAAAATCCTACAAAACCTAAAACAAAAAGTATGCTTAATAAATATGTTATATAAGTCATTATTTTTACATGGAATCTAACCATGACTAATGACATGAAAAATCATCGTTGTTATTCAACTATAAAAACACTAATGACAAACATTCGTAAAACTCACCCTTTAATCAAAATTGTTAATCACTCCTTTATTGACTTACCTGCACCTTCCAACATCTCCGCATGATGAAACTTTGGATCCCTACTAGGTCTCTGCCTAGCCATCCAAATCCTCACTGGGTTATTCCTAGCAATACATTATACGTCTGATACTATAACAGCCTTTTCATCAGTCACCCACATCTGTCGAGATGTTAATTACGGCTGACTTATCCGCTATATACATGCTAATGGTGCATCCATATTTTTTATCTGCCTTTTCCTTCATGTAGGCCGAGGATTATACTATGGCTCATACACTTACTTTGAAACATGAAACATTGGAGTTATCCTCCTATTTGCAGTAATAGCCACAGCTTTTATAGGCTATGTCCTTCCCTGAGGCCAAATATCATTCTGAGGGGCAACCGTAATTACCAATCTTTTATCTGCCATCCCATACATCGGTACAACCCTAGTAGAGTGAATTTGAGGTGGTTTCTCAGTAGACAAAGCTACCCTAACTCGATTCTTCGCATTCCATTTTGTTCTTCCATTTATCATCGCAGCTCTAGTCATAGTCCACCTTCTTTTCCTTCATGAAACTGGGTCAAACAACCCCTCAGGACTTATTTCTGACTCAGACAAAATCCCCTTTCACCCATATTACACTATTAAAGACATCCTCGGAGTCCTCCTTCTTATTCTAGCTCTGATAACCCTAGTCCTATTTTCACCTGACCTTCTAGGAGATCCTGATAATTACACACCCGCAAATCCTTTAAGTACCCCACCTCATATTAAACCAGAATGGTACTTCTTATTTGCCTACGCCATTCTACGATCTATTCCCAACAAACTAGGAGGCGTCCTAGCCTTAGTCTTCTCAATCCTTATTCTAATACTCTTTCCACTGCTTCACTTATCTAAACAACGTAGCATGATATTCCGACCATTAAGTCAATGTATATTCTGAATCCTAGTAGCAGACCTATTTACATTAACCTGAATCGGAGGACAACCCGTTGAATATCCATTTATCATTATTGGCCAACTAGCATCGGTCCTATACTTCACCATCATTCTCTTAATTCTACCAACCATCAGCCTAATTGAAAATAAACTTCTTAAATGAAGAGCCCTAATAGTATAAACATTACTTTGGTCTTGTAAACCAAAAATGAAGTTATAAACTTCTTAGAGCATTCCATCAGGGAAGAAAATACACTTTCCACCTTCAACTCCCAAAGCTGATATTTCTTACTTAAACTATTCCCTGCACTCGACCAGTTACTCAATTCTTGACTTTTATGTCACTATTAACTTTCACCCAACAGCTCATCCCTATGTATGTCGTGCATTTAATGCTTTACCCCATTAGACCATCACTAATCCATGTACATAGGACATTACATGTTTAATCAACATTAATATCGCTCCCATCATGCATATAAGCACGTCCATAATACTCACATAGTACATAATACAATAGCCTATCCCTTCACATTAAATGCTTGTCAACACGACCGTGATCCACCCATAAACACCGTTCAAAGTACATAGCACATTAATATCACTGGCGGTACATACCACATTAAGTCATAAATCTTTCTCGATCCAAATGACTATCCCCTACCAATTTTGGTCTCATAATCTACCACCCTCCGTGAAACCATCTACTCGCCCACTCCGTGTCCCTCTTCTTGCTCTGATCCCATTTTAACTTGGGGGTAGCTAATAGTGATCTTTATCTGGCATCTGGTTCCTACCTCAGGGCCATAAACTGCATAATCGCCCACACGTTCCCCTTAAATAAGACATCACGATGGATTAGTTCCATTCTAGCCCGTGACCCAACATAACTGCACTGTCATGCCTTTAGTGGTTTTTATTTTTGGGGGATGCGGGGACTCACCATTGGCCGTCAGAGGCCTCGTTCCATTCAATTCAATTGTAGCTGGACTTATTAGTCAATATTCTCGCTTTACATAGTTACTATCTGCCATAGTCGGGCTTAATGCTCGATAGACAAAAAAAATGTTAAAACAGAAATTCCATAGAAGACCTAAATCAAAAATAAATGTTTTATCATTTACTTTTTTAAATCTATATTCCTATTCTTATCTGCTTAAAATTTTATTAACTTCTTTCCCAGTAGTTTAGAATCAATAAATTAATCCTAAAACTCTAATGAGCCAAACTATAGTAATTAACTATTAAACTAATAGACACTAATAATACTTACATATAACTCTGTTTGACAAATCCTATATAAGCATGCTCATAAACTTACAT